AAGGCAGGTAAGGTGAATGGATGAGTGGAAGTGTCGGTTGAAAGCCAGAGGCCTTGTGAAGGACATCTGAAATTATTGGTGAAGGTGATTACGCTTGACTAAATTCCCTTAAACTAACACCCTCTTGGGAGACAATGGAAGAAACGAAGACATAAAAGTTTCGATTGGTAAATTAGCTATTTGAGGTAGAGCTGAGGAATGAGAATACGACGCTGAGAGCCACAAATTTCGAACATAAAATTGGTCAAGAGGATTGTCTTCAGTTGACTTTTGACGAATTATGAGTTTGCCTCGAGCTTACAATGCTGATTTCAATGCTGTCGGAACGTCAAGGAGCGGTCCAAAGCTGGAAATTATCATGACTTCTATGGCTGTAGAAGTAGAACTGAATAAGTCCCAAGTTGCGAAAAGGTGATGAATCCAACAATATTCATTTAATAGACTTTGTCTGTATATTTATTATTTTTTTACATTTTCTTACAAACCTATTTATCCTTAAAGATGGTGTTTTATTTGCCCGCTATTCATAGCTGATATTTTGCTTTATTTTTTTATCTTTGAAACTATTAAAATAGGATAAGTTGGCCAAGGAGGCAGAACTAAACAATTTACAAATGTCAATTGAGAAGGAGCACGCCAAGCGTTTGGAACTGGATGGAAAGATAACTCAGGAATTGCGCAACCGACTGACTATGAAAAAAGCAGCCGAATATGTAAAGAAACTGACGACTAAGGTCGAGGATCAGAGCCGAGAGCTAGAGACCAAGGTATGATGATCATTTGATAGCTAAAATATCAGTGCGAAATTAATTTAATCCAAGAAAATTTGGGTCTTTATTCATTCCCCTTTGTTTTCTACCGGTAGCCGAATAGCATTGGAATGTGAAGGAAAGGTTGCATCTGAGATCAACTCTTGTCTCCCTCTCTCTCTACCTAGTTGATACTCACTTGATCATCATAATAATAGCCATCATATCTGTTAATTTAAGTAACTGAATATATATGTGTGACAAATATTTGGCATTCATAGAAATGTGATTTTCACTCTCAATGCTGATATGCTTAACTTTGGAAAAAATGTAAGATCATACTAAATAAAGATTGGTAGGACATATGCTTACATTGAATATTAAATTAGGGTGTTCACATAGCTTTGCTTGTATGATCTAGGCTGATGAAACATTTTACTCTAGATTCTCCGCCAAATTAGGGTGTGTAAGAAAAAGCTTAACTTTTTTGGGAACTTGATAATCTTATAAATCTCATAATGTGGTATTAATCAGAGCACCTCTTTTTTCCTGTTTTGTCCAGCCATACAGTACTTTTAGAGACCAGTGATGAAGTTACCAGGAATATTATCTGTAATGAGAAATGTTATCAATAAACTACGATTTCAGTAATTGAAACCTGGTAAGATCCCGATTTATTTCTTGTGCTTTAAAAGTTGGGAGCACACTTAGCTGCCCGCTGAGGAAAATTGCCCGTGGAAATATTATTTTATGCAAGGTGAGGACATCTCCAGTAAAACATAATAGTGGATTTGAGAACTTCTTAGGTATCCTGTCTAACCTTGCAACATATTGGCTGCTTAGATATTTCTCATCTGATGATTCATAATTATTTTTTTACGTTTGTAATTGAATAGTCTTACTATC